CACATAGTAATGTTATATGAACTGCCACTGCCACAAGGTGCAGCAGCCATCGCACGTAGAGTTGATTATCTTCTGGAAGGAGACAGGTTCATGTCCGACCGGAAAGGGTATGAGGTTTGTTACCACGACGACTAGCAATAGCTATTGGGTAATACAACTAACTAGGTACGAATTTGGACAGCCTCTGATCCTGCGATTCCTTGCACCCCAGATCCCCGAGGCCATATATGGCAAGTACTTTGCCGGAAAGAAAATGCAAGGCAGGATAGATCTTGAGTTTCTATCTAGGATCAACGGAACTATGATCTGCCTGACTTGCGCTATACTATGCCACACTCTCCGGGCATGGCAAACAGGTAAGTACGAAGAGCCGAAGGACTTCAAGCCTGATATTGTTATGGGTAAGAATCTCAGAATATTCTAGTGGGCTGTAGTGAAGGAGTCTGGCTAACCCGTCACCCACTTAAGACTTCTTAGTACGCCAGAGGCAAACATGGCAGAGATTTCCCGTGCAGATCCAGGAGCTGTTTGTCCAAAACATCCGCCAAATCATCACTGAAATGCTCCAGCAACAATACGGGTTTCAGAATAATCGAGTAGAAGCGTATGATGATGACATTGACGCTGTAAGCACGGAGCTCGAGCACAGGAAATCCAACCAGGCTCCAAGCCAATCCTCGCAGGGTAGACAGACGATGACCGACTACCCTCTAGAGGCCTATTTGGGGCACCAGGGCAGGTGGGAACAGTCGCCCCATCCCGATGTTGCTTCCGATTTTAGCCAGATGGCCATTGGACGGTCTCTTGGCTTTCATGATTTTGAACAAGATAGTCTAGACGATACACCAGAACACACGGGACGTCTGATGTCGGGGAGCATGGGCAGTCCATGTATTTCATCTCGCAGCTTGCTTAGTCTGGATGATTCACAGTCGGGGCAGGTGACGGCTATAGATGAACAGCAGGAAGGGAATTTTGATTGAGAGAGAGGAGGCAACAGGTCGGTGGGACCAGGATCGAGAGTGGGCTCGATGGGGCGCATATGGGTACCTGCGGTGCTAGTGGGATCGCAAGCTTCAATAGCGCCTAGTGTACTCAATAGATTAAAATGGCGGGCCAATGTGACGCCGTACAATAGTAAATAGAGTATTTGCAGCACATATCGAGACCAAATTGTAATCGGATGTGGTTACCGAAAGTCCCAGAACATATGGAGTACGTTCCAATTACGGCTAGAAAATCCCGACGATGTCAATTGAAAGTGTGCAATCAGGATGGAAGAGGTAGGTAATGTAGGACTCGGGGCACACGGAAGTAGTTCTTCGAAGTCATGAGATACAGGAGCAGGGACAGGAACTTAGGAGGAGGATAGCGGATGAGACATGCGGTGGGAGGCAAGCGATATAGATTAAGTCATCCAAACAGAACCAGCTTTACGGACAGGATTGGAACGCGGGGGAGGGTTGATGACCGTCACGGCGAGAGGCAGAAGCAGCAGAGATTCTCTGGACGCAAAGCAGGTGTGCCGGATGGCCAAAACGCTGGCCGGGACTTGCAGGGGTGTCAGGACGGCGGGCAGGAGGTCCAGAGGTGTTTGGACGGCGGCCAGGAGTAGTAAGGGCGTGAGGACGCCAGGCAGGAGTAGTAGGGGTGTCGGGACGCTAGGGGGGAAAGGGCATGGATTGCCAGGACACCCGGAACTGAGCTAGCAAGGGTCACAACGCAGGGGGGTTGGAGTGCCGCGCGTCCAGTGAGCGTCAGGATGCAGGAGGGTGCGGATGCGAATGTCAGGACGCAAGACTGGATTTAGCCCACGTCCTGATTAACGGTTTGCGTCCAGTGCGCCCAGTGCATCTGACACACAGGACGCACAGGACGTAAGAGTAAATTTTTGCTGATGGACTCCATCTCTTACTACATAATAGTGTCATCTTTTCATTGGGCACCTTAGCCAATGCGCAAATAATAACTAAAAAATCCTGTACCTGGCCTAGAGCCTAACAAGTACAGGAAACACATGTAACAAAACCTAAGCAGTCTTATTCCTCCTCTCAGTATCTATCTGGTATGCGTGGAGGTAGATGGGGCAATCCTTAGAAGTTACCAGGTGATTGGTGCCACAGTTGAGGCATTTGATAGTAGTCTGGAGACAGGCTTTGCCCCTGGTAGGGCAGTCAGAATGTCTGCAGATGTGGAGGTGGCCTGGGTGTTCCTGAGAACAGATAGCGTGGTGGGGGGTTTTGGTGCATTGAGTAGGGTGGTGACCAAATTCCAAGCATCTGGAGCACTGGGTGGCAGGACTAAAGGACAAGTAGTGTTGGCCCTTGAACTTGCTGCTAAAGAGTGAGAGGCCTCTGCTGAGGGCTTTTTCTGTAGAAAGGTTGCCAGCAATGGTAAGGACCATAGCAGAAGCTGCTTTATCTTGGTGTTGGGCTTCTGTGGTGAGCCATCTGGGAGGGTGGTGGAGGTGGATTCCAGGATTGAATGCCTCAATCTCAGCTTGGACAGTGGGGAAGGTAGAGTTGATAGGGATGCCGTGTGTGATGACCTTTTGCCAAACTTCATCTTTTCTGAGGCCAGTGGTGGCAGGAATGGTAGATCTAATTGCTTCCTCAATAACAAAGCGGTGGTTCTTGAGGACAGTCGATGCAGGAGTATTCTCCTTAGTGATTAGGAGGACATGGTGGTTGAGGGTGAACTCAATGGTGGAGATAAGCTGTTTCTTGATTGCAGTGTTGACAGCATTGTAGATGGTATGGTGGTTGGTGTTGTCTGGTAGTACTGTGCCATCTCTCTCAATGACAATCGTACAGTCGCGTTTGGTGAGTAGGACAGACAGAGGTTTTTTTGGTTGGTGACATGGTCGGGGGTTTGACTGGCAGTACTTTGGCAGCTTTCCAGGCCCAGGTTTGCCTGCTGGTAGGTGGGGGAAGGGTGGACTAGTGTTGGACAGTTGGTTGTTATAGGAGAAGCTGGGACTCAAGTCGCACAACTTGGGAGGTGAGGGTATTGACTATGCCTTGCAAGTCTTTGGTATCTTTGATGTGGCATTCTTGGACGACAAGCATCTGTTGTTGGATGTTCTGGAAGGCAGTCTTGAGGTTGGTGTATTTGGTGATCATGGTGTTGAGGTCCACCCACATTGGTTCAACAAATGGACCCAGTTCTTCAAGAGGGAGGTCAGAAACGCCCTCTTTCTCTGCAGGTGGGTGGGAGGGTTGCATAGTGTCAACAGGGGAAGGGTTCCCCTCTACCATCTGTGTATCATCCAGGAAGGTGGGTTGTGTGGGGATGTGGGATTGAAAATGGGAGACAAGTGGGTTTGCAGCTCTGCTACCTCCGCCTCTTCGTCTAGAAGACATCAGAGATGATGGAATAGGAACTCAGTTGATAAAACGTGATGGAATACAAATTGTAGAGGATGATTTGTGGATGAAAAGTCTGTAGGAGCGGTGGGGGAAGCGGTGAGAATGGGTTGTTGATCAATGAGGTGGGGGCTCGGCAAAGAATTTGGTCTGGTTTTTTCCTTCAATATGGTGGTAACGGCAATGGAGTCTGTTTCTTGTGGTGGTAGAGGGGCAGGCAAGGAGTGCTTTGGCCATCCCAGGTTTGCTGAGGTAGGAGGTTTGATAGTGTTAGGAGTAGGGGAGTGGATGTGGAGCCTTGTAGTTGAAGCTGTTCTTGTACAAGTAAACCTTGTTGATTAATCTTGTCAATTTGCCCTTTCAAGTGAGCCGTATCACTGATGTGTCATTGCTGGACAATGTTGAGGTGGTTGATTGGTAATTGGAAGAAGTCCTCAAGGTAGCTGACTCGCAGTCTGGTGCAGAGGGTGGTATCTCTGTCAGGATTGTTTGGTTCCCATGAGGACCACTGAGCAGAGCCCGGTATAGATTAATTTGGAGTAGTGGGAGGCTGAACTGTGTCCACAGGGGAAGGAATGTCTTCATCCATGTGGGTATCTTCAGGGGAGGGTAGAGCTGAGATACTCTGGTTGGATTGAATTAGAGGTATCTGGGGATTGGCAGCACTCCTGCCTCTGCCTCTAGCCCATGGAGGTATCAGAGGTGATGGGAGAAGGACTTAGTTGATCAAAGGTGATGGAAAATAAATACCAGAGGATGATTTGTTAATGAAAAGTCTATAAAGTGGAGGGGGAAGCATCAAGATTTGGTTGTTGACCAATAAGGTGGGGTGGCTCAGCAAAAAACTTGGTGTGGTTGTTTCTTTTGCTGTGGTTGCAGTGGCAACGGAGTCTCATTTTGCATGGTGTTCTGGTGGTTGAAGTTGTGAGATGATGTTGCGCGGTTGCCACCTATGATAAGTTTTCAGAAATATTTTTGTCCTAGTGCTGTAGAACTCCCTGCGCACCTTATTCCCCTCATCTAATAATTCAGAAGAACCCTAATCGTATATCTCTATTCGATTTATGGGTAAGTTCCGAGCCAAACCAGGTGCTATCGTACTCAGTTCAGCAACTGCCTTGGCACGAGTGCGGCAGATAAATATATTCATCACGTGCCTTATCTAAGGACACATCGCAACCAAAAGGTGCATCGAGATTTTCTTATCAGACTCACGTGACGAATATATCGATCGGCCGCACTCGTACACATTCTAAGCTCTTTGCATCATACGATGATAGGAATTGACCGACTTCTGTGACTTCCAATACCGGTAGATAACTTACCGTAGCCACTAATCCAGAATCAAGGCCACGGCTGCCCGTTCCGTATCACTTTTCTCTGGTTGACTCTAGTGTTTCGGAACAAACACCCCAGCTGAAAACCGGCACTAATAGCTTCTGGGTTCCCGAACGATGCGCGCATCGCGTAACCGAAAAGCAAACAACATTCAATGTCGCACGCAATACATACAATTGATTTTGTTCTAGAATTATTTGTCCAAAGACACGGCACGAAATACCCCACTTCATTCATCAGGAAAACATTTTTCGGTAAGTGGGAATACAACGTACGGAACGAATGACGAACAATGGGAGGAGGAAGTTATATGGACGCTGAATTCTCGAGGATACTTAAAGATATAGGAACGATACTGTTTACAAGAAAGATTGTACGAAGGCCACAATGACGCTCTTGAGTTTTGCCTCGGTCTCTTTGGAAAGGGCACCTTCCTTGTTAATAGTTGCGAGCAGTCCAGACTCATTAGTCCTTAGGTGGGCAAGGAAGTCTGGGTGTCAGGTCAGCCAACCGGTCTCCTCCCACGAGGCAACACTTCGCTAGGTGGCTTACCCTCTTCGAATCGGCTGATCTTGTTGACTGGAACATTGTCAAGATGTCCGTTAACACCAGCATAGATCAAGGGAACTTGCTCCTCAACCGCCATGGGGCTGTATTGCTTCTGCCTGTGAAATCGTCAGTGGCCGTTTGATGTAGGTGGAAGGACGTAGTTATATTATGGCATACTTGAGTAGTTCGGTCAGACGTTCACCGCGGTTCAAGGTAGACTTGGTGGAAGCATCCAAATCCGAGCCGAACTGCGCGAAAGCTGCGACTTCACGGTATTGGGCCAAGAACAATTTAAGAGATCTGTGGGCTCGTTAATATGTAAGCGATGGCTTGATACAAAAGGTGCCTAGATTTAGCCTACCCGGCAACCTGTTTCATCGCCTTAACCTGCGCCGATGACCCCACACGAGAGACAGAGAGACCGACGTTAATGGCGGGGCGGATACCCTTGTAAAATAATTCTGCCTCCAAGAAGATTTGTCCATCTGTGATGGAAATAACATTGGTGGGGATATAGGCGGAGACATCACCACCCTGTGTTTCAATGATGGGAAGAGCAGTGAGGGAACCAGCGCCATGGGCCTCATTCATCTTTGCAGCACGCTCGAGGAGACGGGAGTGCAGGTAGAAGACACTAGAGGGATCAGCGGCTGAGGATTAGGGAAAAATGGGGGCTGGCATCCTTACTCTCCGGGGTAAGCCTCACGTCCCGGTGGGCGACGAAGCAATAGGGACATTTGACGGTAGGCAACAGCCTGCTTGGAAAGATCGTCATAGATTATGACGGCGTGCTTTCCATTGTCACGGAACCACTCTCCCATAGCACAGCCAGTGAAAGGAGCTAGGAACTGCAATGGAGCAGCTTCGGAAGCAGTGGCAGCTACAATGATTGAGTACTTCATGGCGTCATTCTCCTCCAACGTCTTGACGAGCTGGGCGACGGTGGAACGCTTTTGACCAATAGCCACATATACACAGTAAAGCTTCTTGGTCTCATCGGACCCATTGTTCCATCGCTTCTGGTTAAGCATGGTGTCCAAAGCGACAGCAGTCTTACCGGTTTGACGGTCACCTATGATAAGTTCACGCTGACCACGACCAATCGGAACCATCGCATCTACCGACTTCAATCCGGTCTGCACGGGTTCTTTTACTGAACGACGAGGGAGAATGCCTGGAATATGTGTCAATTCCACGAAACCCATCATGCAATGCATCATTCATTTATACGTACCAGGGGCCTTGACTTCAGTACGTCTTCTCTCCTTGACATTGAGGGGCCCCTTGCCGTCGATGGGGTTACCGAGAGCATCAACCACACGTCCAAGAATTCCAGGACCAACGGGAACGTCAACCTGGATTGCGTCTTAGTATGTGCCAGTCCCGCCCAAGGCAACTTGGGGAGAAAGAGGCACACAATTTCACCAGTACGCTTAACAGTCTCTCCCTCCTTGACGAGTCGATCGGAACCAAACAACACAACCCCAACTTGGCCCGCTTCTAAGTTCAAGCACATTCCCTTAACACCAGAGGCAAACCTAATTTCAAACATCAATGTCCACAATTCTATATTGGTGCCTAAAATAACTTACTCAACCAATTCCTCAGCCTGGACATTGGCCAAACCGTGCACTCTTGCGATACCGTCACTATTTATGGGAATTATCCGGTAAGCCAACATTTCGCACAAGGCCGAATGTCGAAGATGCCCACCCAACAGATAAAACTCTGCCAGTTTCCGCCAACCCAGCCTCCTCCTGAACCCCTCTAATCCTCTGCTCGAGAATTGAGGAGACTTCCGTTGGGGATGCCTTCGCCTCACCAGCATAGGTTCGGACGGTATTATTGGTGAGAGCGGGGGCCACATGCCGAGTCTGCGAAGATAGGGAGAGGAGTTAGTGATTAAGTATTGTAAAGGTTATTGAGTAGATAGGTGGAGATTTCAATTGATGGGGCTATCTGGGCGAGGGCAATGAAGCGGATGTGCAAGGGGGCGAAATTTGGGAGGAAGAAAATTTGGCGTGGAAGCAACATACAGCGACGATTCTGCCAGCAGACCAAGCTCCGGCGGAGCGGGTAGATTGACGTAAGGCCGATCTAAGCATTATGAACGATGGATAGGATAAGAGAAGGGGTGGAATTGAGGGGGGAAGGAGGGGAGATGTTGGTTAAGCCACAGGGAAGGGGGACGTGTTGAGGGAAGGTGATGGGTTTTGCAGGACGAAGTAGATGGGAGACAGCCAGCGGCAGGACTCGGAGGGAATTTCGGTTCTGGGTTAGGTGGGGGAAAGTTTCAAGTGGGCAAACAATCTGATTGTGACAGAACAATCTGCAGGTACTCGGGTACGGTTGCCAAGACTTAACCTAGGGCAACGTCTTGTCCGTTTAATAATTATACATAGACAACAACTATGACCACTACAAGTAACCAGTTGAGCGATAGAATATACATATATCCCATCCCACTTGCAAAGAATTTTACTTCACCAAGGGGATATCCTGTTCACCAAGAGGATATCTCCTTGGCAAAGTAGAGAACTTGCCCTGTAGCATCCTACCTACCAAGTAGAATATATAAATTTTCTTTTATATACTACTAATTCTCTTCTTGTCTCCTTATTCCTTTCTTATCCCATCCATAATTCAACAATTTATATCTTATTCTGAGAAGGCCCAGGTATTTTATGTAAATACAATCATACCTATTGGTTTTTGACCTATTAATATTAGGCAGCAGCAAATCCTAAGTCAAGTGAATTGTAACTGGGGCCAATAAGGTTTCTCAAAGAGTGGTCAAGAAAGCTTATAACAAAAGTATGTATCAAAGCATGAGGAATATAATGATAAGATCTCTTCTCTATTCGCTGATGATTCCGAAAGCTAAGGATTTGTTTTTTGTTTGTTTGTTTGACTCATTTGATATTTTTGTTTATGGAACAAAAAGGTATATGGAGCACTAGCTATGACACCTAAAAAACCGCTCCCCCCTGGCCCAGGCTGAACGACAGAGCTGAAAGAACCCTTTGTGGTAGAAAAAACTACTTCTACTCAGAATCCTTCCTGTAAACTGCTCTGCCCAATAACCCCTACTGCCAAGGTATAAAAGAAAGCTAGTTATCCGACAGTGAACCAAGCACGCACCAAACCCCAAGAATGCAACACCTAAAGTCAGAAACCTAAACTGAACCCCTGAGGGGTAACGATCACAACTGAAATCCAATATAAGAACCCTTAGGCCATATGATGAGGGCCAGGAAGAGGGAGCTGAAGCCCCAGAGATGAAGGGTATAAGGGAAACCACTCCACGGATGGCGACTGAGAAGAGTGGAGAGGAGGTGTGTGATAGGTATGCCCGCGAGCGTGTGTCCTCCAGAACAATTAGGAACTGAGGCAGTAAGGTGCCAGCTGGAGAGGAGGTGGCAGTAGGGTGCCAGTCTATCTGACCGTAGAAAAGGGCCCTAAGCGAAGCAGTTGTTTTACCGTGTCTCTCATCTAGTTCCTTATTCTGTGAGAAATAGCATCACAGTAGTGGAGGGGATCCCATCACCTGCCAGCCACAAATACCCTGAGGGGAAGAGGAGGGGTAGACCTAAGACTGTCATCAACAGCTATTGGTTATCACGTTCATGTCTGAATAGGCAGGCTCTGAGGGGGAGCAAGAGAATGGAGAGATTGTCTGAAGCCTGAAGGCTGTTCCCTCCAACTACAAACTGTAGTCCCGGCCACCTGCTGCTGGTGGTAAAGGGGCTGTCAACTGTGCCAACACCTGAGTTAGGCGAGGTAAGAAGAGGAGAAACATCATGAAGATGGACAACCCCAACCAGGAAAGGAACTGAGAGAATCAAGAAATAAATCAAGACCTCAAGGGAGAGCAGAAGCGAGCCCAACTCCTATAGCCGAGGCTAGACGGAGGGAGATGGGAGGGGGGAGGTGTGGTGCTGCCAAATGATAAACGCCACAATAGTTACCATGATGTTGAGTTTTCATCACCCGAGGTGTAGTGGAGACAGACTATGATCTCATAGCTAAGGAGTTTTTTTTTGGTTGACTCATTGATTATTTGTTTAGGGAACAAAAAACATATGGAGCCCTAGCTAGAACGACAAAAGACCCATATCCCTCCTCTCGCCACAGGAAAAAGCCAACCCCCTAAGCCCCTCTAGTATGGAGCCAACTGCACATCTCGCCTCAAAGAAAAGAAACCCAAGCCTGGCTAGAGGGACGAACAAGGAAATCCTAACTAGGAAGAAAGCAGGAAGGGCCAGGAAAACCCGCTGAGAAATCCCAAAAAGACAAAAGAAAGGTTACTAGCAAGCCAAGTAGGCCCCAAAGGGTAAGTCGACTCATTCATGCAGGAAGCAACGCATGAAGCGTGCTAAGATAGGGGCCCCCCCCCCAGACCGACTCCAAGGAGGTAGTGCAATACCATGGAGGGAAGGAGGAGACCAGCCAGTCGTGGGTGATAACCGAGGGAAGAGGAAGATGTAGCAGTAGGGTGCTAGTCGATCCAAGAGGAGGGGTAGACCCAAAGACCTTAAACATCATCTATCGGTATCACGTTCGCGTCTGACCAGGCAGCCTCTTAGGGGAACAAGAGAATGGGGAGATCTACTGTAGCCTGTTGGCTGTTCTCCCGTACTGCAACCGTTAGTCCTGGCTGTCTAACGATGCTGGTTAAGGGGTTGCCGACCGTGAGAAGGCTAAGCAAGGCCAACTCAAGAGTAGGAGAGGACTTCCCATCACACGTGGATAGAGGAGAGAGGGGGAGTAAGGAAGATCATCAACAGTCACCTAGGCAAAGCAAAGCAGCTGTTATACGGTGTCTCTCATGTTGTCCCTTGTTCTGAGAGAGATAGCGTCACTGTAGTGGAAGGGATCCCACCACCTGCCAGCCAGTCAAGGAGGGCTTCCAAACGACCAACCCACAAGGAGAGAAAGGGCTCTGCGATGGGTTAGACTGAAGTCAATACCCTGGGCATGAGAGGAGGGAAGAGCCAGACTCCCCTAGGCCGAAGCCAAAGAGCAGTGGGTGGGAAAGTCGTGATAGTTTGAGGATGAAACTCATAGTGTTGAGTTTTCAATCACCGGAGGTGTAGTGGAGACGGAGGATGTTCTGAAAGCTAGGTATTTTTTTTTTTTATATTTAACTTATATATTCTTTGTTAAGATACAAGAACCTGCATGGAGCGCTAGCTATGGCAAAAACAAAACCTTAATATCAAAAGCCAGAAACAGTAAAAAAATATTTCTCCACCAACAATCCCTGCCTGTGAGGAATACAACCCACTGCGCCAGCCAGAGGGACTAATCGCGCAAGGAAAGACAAGCGCCCTCCCACACAGAGCAAGCACAAAGCACGGAAAGTCAAATAAAGTCAGGAAAGAGAACAAAGAGAACCACCACTTCAATCTGAAACTAGGTTGGTACTGGGGGACACCTATCCCCGGACCACAGCGGGGGGAAAATTGGTTCTGGTATCGGAAATGTATCATGCCAGGCCCCATAAGAGGTCCTTATCAGCCCATAGGGGAGCCTTGCTGCCCAAAGAGTCTACTCCCGGGATATGGAGGAGTCTCGAGGAGGCTTTAGAGGGACAGGAGAGGACAGCATGTTGCATAGTCTCTGGCTCAAGGCCGCAGGCAGACCAAGTGGTGGGTTTGTCTGGCTCATTCCAGGGGGTGTGGGCTGCTAGATAACTCTTTCTAGCTCTCATTTGATGTATTCTTCCAGCCAGAAAGCAGTCCAGCCCCATCAAGGGGTGCGGGGCCTCTGGAGGAGGAGAGGGATAGTATAGAGGGGGGGGGCTTGCAGTGCCCAATCCTGAGACAGGAGGGACCGAGTGGTAGCGATCAGGAGAGAGTACTTCTGTAAAGAGGAGAGATTGTTGGCTGCCCCGGGGACCACTGGTAGGTGCCGGTTCAGGCCTGGAAGAGTCCCCCTGTTATGGCCACACGGGCATGGAGATGGAATGTGCATGGATTTTTGGTTGTATATATTGGTTGTGGTTTTCTTCATTGCATAATTGGATTTCCTTTGTATAACTGATTGAGAGGTGTTGCCGCGCAATGGAAGACAGTAGAAGCTGACAGAAGGATCGCAGCTGCACATGACGCCAAGAACTTTCTTTGGTATTAGTGATCATGGAGGATTTCCTTAATATATAAAGGGGTGTGCCCCTTTATATTTTACTTTCTTTACGCAATCTGGTAATCTCCTTCGGACACCCTTTCTTACGTTCCA